TTGTGTTTAGGTATGTTTAATATGAATGAAAACCACTTTATTACTTCTACTGGTATGATGTCAGAAAATAAAAAACAGTTAACCCAGATCGATTTTGACACCGATGAGATATGTATGTTGAATTAATAATAATAATAAATAATTATTGAGCTGATAAATTACTGTAATACTGCCTTTAATGATTTAATTTGTAATATTATTTTTAAAGCTAACACACAACTCAATTATAAGTAATACAGATGGTGGTGCTAATAAAGATGGTGGTATCGAAAACTCACAAATTATTACTAATCAGATGTAATGAACAGTATTCAACACTTAGGTAATGTTCTTATGAATGGTAATTATTTCATTATACATTTTCATATCCACAAAAATGTAATATAAAAATATTTAAAACTTACCTGACAACATATTTTTAATTAAGTTTCTAGAAATATGTCAAATATACAAAAAGGGATAGATATTATTAAAGTTGATATCAATAAAAATCAAGAATCTACTATACTACGTACCTTAGGATGAAGTTGACTGTAGACAATAGAATAGCAGAAAAAATCAATATGGAGGGAAGAAGAGGTTAGGTTAGGTTTTGGTTAGGTTTAGGTTAGGTTAGGTTAGGTTAGGAATGGACGGTATAAATAATGAGGCCCTAAAGATAATAGCAAAACGCCAGCCAGAGATGCTGCTGGAGATCTATAACAAATGCCTAGAGGAAGGAAGATTTCCGACAGTATGGAAAAGAGCTCGGTTGGTGCTCATCAAAAAGGGTGACAAGCCTCCACTCGAACCCGCTTCGTACAGACCACTGTGTCTGATCGCCTGCACTGGTAAATTGTTTGAGAAAATAATAGACAACCGCGTCAGGGACTTCTTGGAATCCGGCACCCCAAGCGGCCTATCAGAGAACCAGTTCGGCTTCCGCAGTAAGCGTAGCACCACCGACGCACTAGCAGTAGTGTGCAAGGCAGCAGAGGACGGTGGCCCAAGGAAGAAAACCGGTATGCTGTCACTAGACGTACAGAACGCGTTCAATTCTGCACCCTGGGTTAAGATCCTAGAAGCCATGGAGGCCAAGAAACTGCCCACCTACCTGTGCCAGCTGGTCGACAACTACCTCTGGGACAGGACATTGTACACTCAAGATCAGAGAGGCACCGAAGTCCCGATGCAGCTGTCAAGCGGAGTTCCACAGGGGTCAGTCCTGGGACCCACCCTGTGGAACATACCGTATGACGACCTGCTGAGAGTGAGGCTTCCTGTAGGCGCCAGATACTTGGCGTTCGCGGATGACGTAGCCATTATAGCGCAGGCCACAGACACCATCGGGCTGAAAAACATACTGCAGATAGCGGCGGAGATTACCAGGGACTGGATGCAAAACATAGGCCTCCACCTTGCTCTTCAAAAGACAGAAATGCTAGTCATCACGAAGACAAGAACTCACAACGAGCTGGAAATAGAGATAGACGGCAACGCAATGCTCGCAGGAAAAGAACTAAAGTACTTAGGAATAACGTTGGACCAAAAACTTAGATTCACAGCTCACGCGAGAACGACGTGTGAAAAAGCTAGCAGAGCCGTTCAGAACCTGGCTAGAATTTTGCCCAACGTCAGTGCTGCCAAGCAAGCCAAACGAATGCTCATGTCAAACGTGGTGCATTCAATGCTCCTTTACGGTGCTCCAGTGTGGGCCAATAAAATGAGCAAAAAAGGACTGTCAGAACTCGCCAAGGTCCAGAGACGCATCGCGCTGAGGGTCGCGTCAGCTTACCGCACTTCATCCACAGATGCAGTCCTAGTAATAACGGGAATTCCCCCCATCGACCTCCAGGCTTTAAAACGAAAAGCGATACACGACAATCGAATGAGACCAGAAACCAGCGAGGTGAGAGAAGAAGCAGAAAGCATGCTGAACAGGACATGGCAGGGCCGTTGGGACAGCGATGAGGCGAAAGGCAGATGGACGCATAAGATAATCAGGGACATCTCGCGTTAGAGGAACAGGAGACACGGGCACACAGACTATTGGCTGACCCAAGCCCTGACTAATCATGGATGCTTCAGCCACTACTTGCATAAAATAGGAAAACTGGGAACCTCAGAATGCTGGTACTGCGGTCACCACGACGACGACGCATTTCATACGATCTTCGAATGCGACGCCTGGGAGACTCGAAGATTCCGCGTGGAGACAGAAATTGGAGGAAGATTTCAACCCGAGAACATGATGGACCACATGTTGAAGGACAAACAGACGTGGGATACCATCAACGGATTCGTACGCGAAGTGCTACAAAAAAAGACCGAGGAGGAAAGAAGGAGACAAGCAATTGTCGCAGCTGCACCGTAGAGACGGCACCAGGGACCTGAAGTGAAAAGGCAAAACAGCACGAGAAGTCGAGAGCGGCGGACGTTGGTCGGCTCGAGAACCCAGAAGAAGACACCAAAAAACATAAATTATATATATATTATTTTTGATGTACGCCGAAGGCAAAAATTGAAGGGATAGAGCCCTTCATAAATTGTAAATAATCTTGTGCGGGTTAACACAGGGGTATTGTCTCTGTGCAGACCACAAAATGTTGTATGTATATTACTAATAAATGATGGGACCTGGGGGGTGAAATGACTAACGTCAGTGCCACCCCCAGGCCCCGATTTCAAAATGTAAAAAAAAAAAGGTTTTAGCTTTTGGTCGTCTAGAAATTTCTAAAATTTTAATTGGCAGGTAAATGAAAAAAAATAATCAAATTCTAGTTTAAATTCAATATTAAATATACCATTTATTTTATTATTAATATATCTTTAGTAAAATGTTATATACTCTATTCCCCGTAAGTTTACCCATTTTTTTTTTGTGCACGCATAGTATGGAAAAAACGTGACAATGTAGTTCACTACGTAAACACCGTGGTGTTTCACGACCTGAAACTAGAACTATAGTGAACTGTATTATCAAAATGTTTTCACCATACTCTGAGTGCGCATAAAAATAAAAATCAGTAAACTTACTCTGGCAAATAGAGTATAGTGACTAAAATTGTTTAATAGGTAGCCAACAACTCGATGAAATTGTTATAATTATTGATGTTCAAAATGAGTGCTATTTATTGTGCTATTTATATGCTATCATGTACCTACCTACCACAATATTAAATATTGTTATTAATATTTTTGGATTTATAAATCTATTACTAATAACTTGTTTGCTTGTAGCGGATATTATACATCAGAAAATATAATATATTATATACATTCTTCAAACAGAATATTAGCATATTTTAATTTTTAATCATGTAGCCACGCCTAATTATTTTATTACCATAAAAAAATTATATTTATTAACATTTATGTGAATAAGTTTTGATAATGTCCAACAATTTTAACACAGTTTACTGTGTACAACTTTTTATTTTTCCCAAGCAGAAGGGCGATTAATATTTCCAAGTACCTATCCAGCTCAATTGTTCATTGGAAATCACAAATTACATTAATATTATTTTAATGTAGCCAATGCGTAGGTAAGTATATTATATATTCATTTTCATTTTATTTTTTATTTCATTTTATTTTTATTTTACCTAATAAGATGTAAAAATAATATATTATAATAGACTATTTTCATTTTGTATTCACAATTTAGATGCTGTTGATGCCAAACATTCAAATAATTTTGATTAATTTTTTTTTCATATTTTAAGTATATCAATATTAAATTTTGGTAAAATGAATAAGGATTTTGTTTTAATATGAATTAAAAACTATAATGTAATTTTACATTGGTTTATTGTTAATGAAATAATATATTGTATTATTATTCTGTGGACTGATAATATTGATATGATTTATTTAAATGATAACATATGCCACGCCCCCTTAGAGACCGTGTTCAAGGCCACAGTCACCCGATTTTGCCAATACACAGAGTGTCTATACCCTGATATATCTTATCTTGTTCTGTGATATTATCTATGACTACCAGAATCTCAGTAATCTCTTATCTCGGTAGTCGTTAAAAAATTTCAAATTCGAAAATAAATACTGAGCAGTAAGTTGTAATTTTATATGCACAATGCACATTATCGCTTCCAGGTATTGTAGGAAAAATAACTAATTACTAATTTATTTATCTGTCATTCTATGGTCGCTGGTGGGTACTGGCGTCTGGCTGGGTAGTTAATGTTCTTTTCATTTTTATAGTTGGTACTGATAACTGTTGTTTCATGTCTGTTACATAATCTATCTACTACCTACCTATTGATTGACGTTTTAAACTTTTCAACTTAAATAACGTGAGTATAACTTGTAAAATTGACTTAATATTAGTGAATCGCACGTGAAATTTCACTTTTACGACAAATAGGTATATTAAGTAACTCAAAGTTCAAGCCACATGATGTTGTTACTTGTTAATACCAATATACCATAGACATAAATACAATATTAATTTGGAGTTATTCTAATGACTTAAGCTCTCCATACTCACCTTTAGAATTAGATTGGAACTTATAATTTTTAGGTATGATAAGTAAAATATTTGATATTTCTATAATTCGTACTCGGATATTCATAATTTATGACCATGTGGCATATAGTAATACACTACAATATTATTACTTATTTACTTATGTAGTTATGTGTTATTAAGATCATTAAAAAAGGCTAACTTCTGAGTTTTTGCTTGAAAGTTCTAAGGCTAGGTTAGTTCATCATATTGCCTATTAGTTATTGCCACTGAATATTAAAATAGGTACCTATTATGTTTGTGACTACACTACATTAACAGGTATTTATTAAATAAGAAATTTAATATTTAGACAAATTGTTTAATGTAGGTTTAATGTAGCTACCTCGGGAATCTGCATTCTCTGCAATAAAGGATATCCAATTTAATCTATAAAATAAGTATGTTTTTATCCTTGGTTATTATTTAACTTTAATTAGTGAATTTTTATTTTTTGCAAAAATTGTGAAATAGTGAATATTATATTTTTTTATTAATGGTCCATTACAAAATTATGAGCTGAACCTCTTAAATACTCAATAATATTACGGTCCCTGAAATGTAGAACTAAATTTAAAATGCGGTCTGATGCTTCTACGTATTTTTTTTTTAATGGAGGTGGTTCATGGCCTCCAACAAGAAACTCATAATACAGATCTCTTTCTGCCTGAACTTTCTTCAATTCAATTATAAACTGCCAGATGGTCGGATGATTCATGCTGAGCTGTGCTTGCAGTCGCCGATGAGAAGCTTCTGCTACTTTGTTTGTTTTCTATTTTAAACAAAACCAATTCAAGTAAACAGCTATTATAAAAGTATAACAAAAATTGGTTTAATATTACTACCTAAATGGAATTTTATTATTCTTATTGATTAAAATCTGTAAATTTTATAAATTGGACACTTTTTAAAAATATTATTTAACATTTGATTTTAGTTGGGTCACTAACACACTATAATATTTATTTATTTAAAAATTAAAAGTTAAATAATGATACCATAGCAATAGATAGAACAATTTAAATAAAATATTATGTTAAGTATGTATAATATTGTATATTTATTATGTTATATTGTGATTGTAATTGTGTGCATCACATGATACATAATTAATTAAAGAAAAAATCTATACTTAAACCCAAAAAGATGCTAATTTCTTAAGATTTTATATCATTTATATAATTTTACACAACCTATAATTGTGTATAATTTATATTATATTATATGAGTTTGAAATTTGAATGTACCATATAAGTTGTATAACAAAATGAATAAGTGTATAATACAGTGCAGATCTTACACTAATACTATACATTTTGTATTGATTAATTATTGACCTAAATTTTTTTATAAAAATGTATTATAATTAATTAATTCCATAGTACTTTTATTTTAACATGTGTTAATTTATTTTCCTAACTTGATCTTAATGAATAATTTTTTAATAATGACTACTATAATTTATTACTGTTGTATCGAAACATAAGATTATTTTTAAAAAAATGTGTCTTACCATTTGTTCAGTAAGGACTCTATTGTACAAGTTCCATATCTCAATGGGAAATGCTGGTACCCTCCTCACACTTTCTCTTCACAATATTCCAATATAATACATTTCCAGCCAATCTAAAATTGGCTGTAATGTAGGCTCTACCCGTTCCAACTCTTCACATAACATTTCAAAGCTTTCAACGACGTTTACGGGAGGAACAAACGCCAAGGCAGTTATCATACGTGCGTATAAATTAAAATCTGCGTTATTTCTATAAGAACTAAAAAAAAAAAATACATAATTATAATTTGCACATAGTTTACATTTAAAATTTTATATTTCAGCTTACGCCATCAACCCTGCAGTTCCAATTTGTTTCAAGTTGAATATCTAAAATGAATCCAAAAATAAGGAATTCTTAAAAATTAATTGGTTATATTATTAAGGTAATACTATCAAAATGATTTAAGAACATACTTCTAAACCTCTTTGACGACCGAATAAAAGAATTCTATTAATCTCAGGGCCAGTATCACATAGTAAAAAATTCTCAAATACTCCTGGTTCGACTTCATCCTCCTTAAAACTGTCAGGGATATCCAATTCAAATAATGTCAAAGGGGCAACAGGAATTTGTGGCCCATTTTGACGTTTTACCCGTCGGACAGTTTTTTTTAATGTGTTTATAGATGATAAGGCTCCTTTACCAGCAACAGATAATCCATCTAAACAAATTAATACATTATAGTTTATAAGCCATAGTGCATACATGTAATAATAATAATAATATGCAAATACATTTATAATATTTATGTTAAATTAATTTTACTTAAAAAATTAAATTTGTAAAATATTAATAACTAATAAGCACCTATCCTAATGACATAAAAAGAATAATATTACTTATTCAATAATTAATTTCATTGTACATTCAACTAAAGTAAATTAATAAAATCTGAAATAACTATTGTATTCATATTTGACATAATACTATTATATTATATTGGCTTCAATATAAAGCTATGATATTTTACTATATTAATTAAAAGTGTTTTATATACTATGTTTAAGTGAATAAACTAATATTTTGTAAGTAATATGTTATAATATTTATTTTATCTATACACTGGTTAATTGCTACAGCCGGGGATTCCATTGTATCAGCAACTCTTCTTTTTATCCTACATATTGTTGATGCCATCTAAATAAAATATAGATTAGATTAATTGAAGATTTTTTTAGTAAACAATCCTAACCTCTAAAAACATTTATGCTATAGAAATTACAGACTTGGGTAAAATACTTTTTAAAAGTTATTCAAATACATTTTCGGAATACTTAAAAAAAGTATTCAGAATATGTATTCAAATACTCGGAATACTTTATGATAATAATATTCGTATTAGGAATACTTCACAAAAAGTATTCCGAATACCAAGCCCGGATTAAGGATCAATTGGGCCCCAGCCAGCCGGACACCTTACACTTAGTGGGTCCCCTTTCAACTTTAACTTCAGAATAATTGAATCATTACATATTATTGTATAATTTTTTACTATACAAAAAATATACAGAGTGTATCATATATATGGTTTTTTTAACAATTATGAATCGATGATATTTCGTTAAAACAAAAAAAGACGTGTTTCTTTATTTTTAACAGGCAATTGTTTTACATTTTTAAAATCTTTAAACACGCAGTTGCACTAATAATAGGATCGACTTTATTTTTTCAAATGTTAAAATGGATTCTGGTAAAACTTTTTTTTCTGAATATTTTGACAGTCAAGTGATCAACTTTGGTTCGCTAGGTTATTAACTATGGTCCTCTAAAGTTTAGTTTAATATGCATTAATACTTTTAACTGAAACACCTACCTAATTTACAAGAGCCAAATATTTTTTCCTTATAACTCACTTTTTGTATACTTAAATAGTTAAATCAGTAATCTAAAATGCTCAAAAAAAAAAAAACTTAAACAAAATTGTTGGCAAATATAGTTCGTTATTTATAGTAATTATTCGTAGTATAAAATCAGGAACAATTTTATTTTATAATTGTTAATAATAATTTACCTACTTACTTAAATAATAATTTTTTTTTTGAAAACTATTGGACGCGTTAAAAATATATATTTTGGGGATAAAGATGGGACCGTGCAACCTTGGCCACCCCTATAATCCGTGCTTGCTGAATACTGTATTCGGAATACTACCCACGTCTGAGAAAATATACATTTTTTAAATCATTTCAAAACAAAATGTTTACAATTTTTTATTTGCAATACGTGCATATGTAAAAAAATTTAAAAATTTAGTATTTAATGACAATGAATATTTACTGTTGATTAATCAAGCATACAATATTACAATTTACCTATAAAATAAAATATCTATACTTTTAAGTTTTAATATTGATTATAATTATTTAACTTACCTCTACATCCACAGGAGATTCGTCATGACCACCGTGGGTTCCCTTAACTATTACATGTTGGTTATTTACGTGGATTCGTCCTTTACAGTTAATATCCCTTCTGCGACATCTATAATATTTTGTGATATTGTCAGCGCTCATCCTTCATGAAGATAAACGTCTTTCGACCTATTTGTCACAATAACGTCAATTTTCAATGCAAAACGTATATTTAAATGAAATTGACGCTGGATTAAAACATGAGATGCGTATAAGTCCACAGCTTGAACACAAGTGGTCTAACACAATAGGCTTCAGAGGTTTAAATTATTTCATGAAACAAAATAAAATATATCGCAGTGATCTATTTATAATAATTAAGGTACCTTTAAGATCCTATGATGATACCGACAGCCGCGATAGGACATATAGATAATAGACATATACTATATACACCCGGTGGGGTAAATCCTGTATCCGAATTCTTGCTAATTTTATAAATTAATATTACGATCGACACAATGAGTCATAAGTAGACAAGTAGTCAGTACATCATTTGTTTTAAATTGTATATTAAAGAAATATATATGTTGCGCATCGCGTTATTGTACGTTTCACGAAATGGACAACCATTGCATCCATCGGAACCGCGGTTTCTCCACTTCACGCAATTACACGGATTATAATATTTCGTGGATAACTAAACCGTCATCAATAGAACTTGTTCCGTCATTTGAATGCCCATATATCAAAAATTAAAAACTTAAATTTTAGATTCGGAGCGGAGCGTATTGATTTAACAATGATGTTTGGTTTTTTTTCAAAAAATTTTTTGAGTTTATCGTCACCGTTTGGGGCAGAAATATTGGTTTGACTTTTTTCAACAGTATCTCGTTTAGACTTAGGTCCATGACTTCGGGAGGTTTCTCAATAGTTTTCAAAAGAGCAAGGAAAAACAAAAGAAAAAAAAAAGGTGGGAAAGCGGGTGACGCTCTGTTGTACAGTAGGTTACAAGTGGGTCACTGTAATGGATTGTGTTAAATTTGAATTTAATGATATAATATCGTTGTATACGAAAAGCGATTCTGAGCGGTGACGGTTTGTCGGTGTGGATATTTTGTATTTGTATTACTTATTATCGTAAAAAAACTTCCAACAAAACACAGATAATGTTCTTACCATCAAGTTGTATAATAAGTCGATTCAATCTAGCTAACGGCATAAACTTGAATTTCTGAGCGTACATTTGGTATGTTACGCGTTTTTAAAACGGAGACAACACATGCGGGTGTGGCGTCCACTTAACACGCCTCTTAACAGGCCATTTTTTAAGGATTTTTTTTGTGTCCAAATGGACACACACTAAAGTACAATGGACACCCAGTAAAGTAAGATTTTACTAACTTTATGTCCACTAGAATAAATATTAAATTACACCTATAATATATTAATTAAACTGTTATTTCTTAGATTTTTCTTCTTTTTTATAAAAAAATATATACTTGTTTATCATTCTGATCAATAATAAAAGTAAAATATATTTATTAGGTTAGTATAGTAGGTATATAAATAGTATTCGGAGGCGTGAGGCCGTTTTAATTCCGTGTAGAAATATTTATTTCTAATATGAGGAGTGTCTGCCTGGATAATTTTCAATGTGCCCCTTTACAAAAAAAATTTTACCTAGGTAATTTTGTTTTCTGTTTAATATCTTATTATAACTAAAGACCAATTTCATAAACAAGGTATTCATTTTATTATTAGATAGAATTTTATTGTGTTAAATTTTATTAAGTTAATATAAACAAAATAATGTATAGTTACAGCCTTTATAAAATATAATTTTAAATACAGTTTAACAATATTGTTTTGGTAAAATATATATACTTTTTGATGATTAAATAGATACAAAATTAAAATAAATATAGATAATAGGTACCTAATATAGATAAGCTGGTTGATTAGAAAGTCAGGAGCTTTAATTTGATATATAATGCAGATATTCTAGTGTAGTTATTATTAATGTATTCCATAATAACCAAGGTCTAAAAAAAATTAATCAATTTTTTTTTTGGTTTTTTAAAATTTAAGTTTTCAGAATAACATACTTACGTGGAACCTTGTTCTACGTTTCCAATCCATTGCTACGAAAGTTGAATATTTTGTACATTTTTAATTACAAAATCATTATTTTTCATCTGGAAACAATAAATAAGGAGCCTCCTATTAAATTTTCAATCTTTTTTACCCAACAAATAAATTGGTATTGATATTTATAGAAAAAAAAAAACTAAAAAAATTGGAAACTGAAAATGTCTATAAACAGTTTGAAATATTTTGGAAATGTTATGGACTATGGCGTATAGAAAATGCTAGTATAAACATTGAGTCAAAAATGTCGTTTTTGCGATTTTGCGTAAAAATTCCCGTTTTTCCTTACTTTTTATTTTGTTTTTCCAGGCGCTTTTGAAAACTTACTTTACTTTTGACCCCCCAAGTACCAAGTAGATTCACTTTTCTGTCAGAAAAGATACTGTTGAAGAAAATCTATGCATTTGAACTGACCTTAAAGGTAATGACAGACACAAAATTTTTTTTAAAAAAAACAC